TTAGTTCAGTTTTATAGTTTTAATATTTAATATTCAGATTTTGTTTATCATGTGCATTAAATAAAATATACATGTACTTGTGTTTACACAGTCATTGGTCAAAACTTTTGCTGTGACTTTCACTGCACAATAATATTAAATCTGCAGTATAGAGGAAGAAATGTCTTGGCAATAAACATGGTAGGATATGTAATGCCAGTATCTTGTAGTATATGAAGAGAAAAGGGGAATCAAAACAAAAATTAATGCTGGTTTTAATTTTATGGTTGCCTTTGCAGTCCAAAATATCCCTTAGAGAGAGAGAGAGAGAGAGAGAGAGAGAGTGTGTGTGTGTGTGTGTGTGTGTGTGTGTGTGTGTGTGTGTGTGTGTGTGTGTGTGTGTGTGTGTGTGTGCGCGCGCGTGTGTGTGTAGAGTTGGCATATACAAAGGATATTTAGTATAAAATTCGAAGAGATTAGAAATGACAAGATATTAATATACCCAAGCAATGAAGCAGCCGAAGATTAGCGTGCTAGCACACTGAGTGAAGTGAAGTGAGGTAGGAATGGCACTTGCGGAGGTAACGATTAATTTTTGTGGGTTTGATATCAGATTTTCAGATTTAGGAAGTCTACTTTGGGAGCAGGTAATGAATGGATGCGTGTGGTGATCTTCAATTATATTTTTAGGGTAATCGTTTTATCTGTTACAGTTGTGTTGGTTATAGTTTTTTTTCATGTTAGATATAGTAATTACAAAACTGATTTCTTTATTTACATGTGATTGACTAATTATGTTTTGAAGAGGTGTGACAGAGAAAGATACAGAATCTAATCACCAAGTGTCAATGTAATACCCACGGCAGATATTGTATGATAAGTAAATTTGGGCAAAAGTCCAGTGATCAAGAAGGCTCTTAGTAGACGCGATAGGCAACAGCGTGTCCGGGGTTGTGCACAACGCGCAGGAGCTCAGCATCGCGCACGGGAGCAATTGCTGGGTGTGCAGCTGTTGCCTCGACTTTGACTGTCACTGGCTCTACGGGCACGGCCTTGTAGAACTCTGGGAAGACCACCTGGTTGCCGAGAAACACGCTTCGCTTACGGCGACTTGCGGTCTCCTCCTCGGCGGTCTCTTCTGCAGCCTCAGGAGCAGCCTCGGTTGTTTCCTCGGCCTCCTCCACGGCTGCCTCCTCAGGTGCTTCTTCAGCAGCTTCTACGGTTTCTTCAGGTGCTTCTTCAGCAGCTTCTACGGTTTCTTCAGGTGCTTCTTCAGCAGCTTCTACGGTTTCTTCGGGTGCCTCCTCTACAGCCTCCACGACTTCTTCAGCAGCAGGAGCCTCGGTTTCAGTTTCTTCGGCTTCGGCCTGAGCCAGGGCAGCTGCCACAGCGGCCTTGTGCTCTTCTACCAAGCGGAAGTGCTCGGCCTTGGCAGCCTCCACCTCGGGAGTGTCCTTCGCCACCTCCAAGTCGAACACGGGAGCCTCGAGGTTGAACTCGGGGGCGACGGGGGCCTCTCCAGTGAAGGTGGGGGCGACGGGCAGGGCGTTGGAGGAAATGCGGAAGCCGCCGGCATCAGCGATGTAGTGTGCGACGACCTCCTTGCCCTCGGCGTTGATGTACGTGTAGGATCCGCGCACGGCTCCCGTGTAATCCCTGCTGGCGGAATGGGCCTGTCCAGCGGAGGCGTGGCCGAAGGCGAACTGACCGAGCTCATCCTGGGAGTGATACTGCGTCTTGTATTCGGTAGGGACGTAGGGTGCGACCGCCGCGTACACCTGGGGCGCGGGGGCCTCGGGAGCGGGCGCGGTGTCTGGGATCACGTTGTATTCGTACGTCACTTCGGGGGCTGGAGCTACGATCGGTGCAACGGCGGCGTATCCCGAAGCAGTATACGGGTAGTACTGCGGGAGGCCTGAGGCCGCGCATACGCACGCCGATATCACCAACTGCAAATGTGCGAAAAAAACGAATTACTGATTCGATAATTTTGCAAACACAGCCTTTCGGATACGACACATGATCAGATTTAATAAGATGAACAAATGTTATAAATTGAATCATGGAAGTTGACGCGTAACACCGACACCAATTAGTGAAATGATATTCAAATCCAAGTGAAATCGCGGGCGTAATTACTTATGTATGAATGCTACCTCTACTTGAGCAGAATGTATAGACAAAGATTCAGCTAACAATATTAAGAACTGCTGTTAAAATCAATGATTGATTTTAGTTGATTTTAAAGTATATTTAGCATCAGATTTCCTTATAATGCTAGAAGCGTTGTCACCGGTGGGGTTAAAACTATAGTAATAACAAAGTAAAACACACATTATAACCAATTTGTGCAAAGATATCGTTACGCAGCCAGAGATCACTTTTTTCTCGAAATCTTCTAAGAACATTTTTTTTTCTAAACACACTTCAGAAATTTCACACCAAAGAGCGCTTATACATACAAGAGCATTCATGACGTCTGTGTGTAGAGGAGGCACCGAGGTGGGCTGTGTCTCCTCGC